CGGACACTATTATCCGAACTAGGCAACCGCTGTAAATTAGTAATGCAGTGGATACCTTCCCACTGTGGAGTTCCCGGAAACGAAAAAGCTGATAAACTAGCTAAGGAAGGTTGCAACTGAAGAACAACCTGACATACCAGTCTCTTATCAACAGAAGAAGAGAATGATCAAATCAATCAGAATGCCACCGAAACTGGCACAAGATGATTACCATATTATGGACAGACCAGAGCAAGTTATTATCCTTCGCCTTAGAACAGGGCACAATAGACTTCGCTCCCACATGTACAACAAATTTAAGATTGGCCAATCGGCCATGTGTACTTGTGGACTGGCACCTGAAACAACAGATCACATCCTTCAAGACTGTCCCATATTCAACGCTTTCAGGCAAAACATTTGGCCAAAAGAGACACTTGTGGAAGTCAAACTTTACGGGCCGCTTAGTGAATTACAAAAGACAGTGAAATTCATACAAGAGACGGCTTTGCAGATATAGACAATTTATTTCATGCGAACGAAAGAAGAAGAAGAATATAGTAAAATAAAGTAAAGTAAAATGTATCAAAGTAAAGTACATTCAAATAAAGCGTATTAGAGTAAAGTACAGTAAAGTTAGGTAAAGTGTATTAAGCAAAGTGTAGGAAAGTAAAGTACAATACAGTAAACTAAATTGAAATGTAGGAAAGTACAATACAGTAAGTAAGGTAAAGTGTAGTAAAATACAGTATAGTAAACTAAATTACACTGTAATAAAGTACAGAAAAGTAAACTAAAGTGTAGTAAAGTACAGTACAGCAAACTAAAGTAAAGTAGAATGTAGTAAAGTACGGTACATTTAAGTTAGTTACGTATCCTTTACATGACGTTGCAGAACCGACGCCAACATTTTGTTGTTGTTGTTGCTCTTGTGGTTTTTGAGGCATATTTTACATTCAGTAGTTTGCCATTGCTTATGAACGGTTAGTTCTCGGTACCGGCTGTGGAAACCAACGCCAGGCAAATCGTCCACAGCTTGGATCAAACCAAGCGCTCCGGCATTAGGAAGAGTGCTCGTAACGCCTAAGCCTCAGACGCCGCCACATTATAGTACAGTACTATCGAGCGGGAGAATAATGGACCCAAACTGATAGATATTAACGGTGACGGCCTTGCTAGCCCCCGGACTGAGATTTTTGACCATCGGCCGGGTTGGCTCTGTACATGTGGAAAGAGCTTCACGGGGTTACATGGTCTGAGAACTCATGCCGGAAGAATGAAATGCGAGGATGCACCACTCAGTAAACGTCGTCGCATAACTACTACTCTCGTGGTAGTTACTGAGTCGTCAGGGAACGACGGGCACTCGCCCGGAGAGGCCCATGACGTTGACTACGGAGGCGCAATTTTAATGATTCATAAAGAAGTGCGTTCGAAATTCAGGTTTTCACCTGCGAACGACAAGGTGTCATGGTGCAAGCTGGAGGGTACACTGAGTGAGAAATTAAATTATGATTTAAAGAAAAAGTCGCTAGGTGATAAGTTTACATGGTTTGGTAAAATAATATACGAGCACTGTTCCTGGGAGTTCGGGACAGTCGAGAAGGCGCTGCCGGGCGTCAAGCAAAAAAAAAAAAAAAAGCAGGAGACAGAGGGACATTCTGAAGTGCAGGGCAGACAAAAACGCACTCAGAAAACGGTTCAAAGCCGCCACAGGCAGTGAACGGGAGGGACTGTACGAGGTCTGGTTGCACCTGAGAGACAGACACAGTGCTCTCTGTCGCGCTGAGCGTTTCTTTAACAACAGAAGAAGAACCAAAAGGGAGCGACAGAAATTCTTTAGGGACCCGTTCCAGTTTGCCCGAGGTCTGTTCGAGCAACCGAAATCTGGGACTCAGGTGGTCGGTAAAGAGGAGCTTTAGTCACATCTACGCAAGATGTACTCAGGAAAAGAAATGAGCCTTTCGATGACAACCCAGAGATCCTTAGTGGCCTGAAGCAGTCAGAGTTGCCGAAGATACCATTTTCTGAGGTCGAAGAAGTTGTGAAAAGAGCTAGCGTCAAGTCCGCCCCAGGGCCGAATGGTGTTCCGTACGTCGTGTACAAGCGTTGCCTGAAAAATATTCCGAATTCTTCACCGCTAGTTAGGATTAGCGTGGAGCCGAAATCACATATGTTCCTAGTGACAACGGGCCAACGGGGTCTACATTCCCAAGGAGCGAGACTCCACGATTCTGTCCCAGTTCAGACCAATTTCGTTGTTGAATGTTTAGAGCAAATATTCTTCTCGATCATGGCTCACCGGCTCACACAGTATCTGATGGCGAACAAATACATTGGCACGAATGCTTACAAATGTGGAATCCCGGGCGTCCCTGTGTGCCTTGAACACGCGATCATGATTTAGGAGTCTATTCAGAGAGCCAAGGCAGAAAGAACTCTGTGTTGTGTCTGTGTATGTGTTAGGCCTGTGTGTCTGTGTATGTGTTTCAGCCTGTGTGTCTGTGTTGTGTGTGTCAGTGTTGCATCTGTGTGTAATGTTTGTGAATTCCCGGGAAAATCATCAATAACGTTTAGATATAAACTAAAAGTTGTTCAGCAAAAGTAAAGAAATATCAGTGTTAACTCTTTGATTCCGAGAGGGTATTGTTGCATCATGGAGCGGGGGGTGACATTTGTACTTTATCAAATTTAGCGCATAAAAATACTGCTATTAAACATACACATGTCATACATAACACAAATATAAATGATTGATGGTTATTATTATTATTAGTAGACTACTACGACATATAATTATACTGTTATTTAATAATTAGTAAACAAGCACAGTCAGTATGAAATTGATATGTGCAATACTTTTTTTTCACCCAGAGTAGTTTTCCTAACAGTACTTCTAGCACTACTAATTATGTATCCTCAAGGTACAAACAGCACAAACAAATTTGTCCAGTTTCATCTTGTTGGATGAAATCGATTTCTTATCATTGCGAATTTTTTGGTAACTGTTCAAAAAAATATCACACATATTTCTAATTACTGCATGCAACAACGCGTATAAATATCATGAATGGTATATTATTTTAAGGGTAATTAAAGCAAATTAAAAAAGACCATTTAACCGCAACATACACATATCAAACACAAAAATCTCCATTGAGATACTGGACCTCGTTGTTCAAAACTGTCTGGAACAAGACTAAAGCCCAGAATAAGATGAACAGCCAGAAGATTCTGCAAGAGTTTACAGCCAGTGTTCGCGAAGCAAAGCAAAAGCCAGTCTACAAAAATTACCACAGACCGTACAACTGCAAATATACATAAGAAGTCGATGAACTACCAGAAGTTTCCGCAAGAGTTTACAGCCAGTGTTCACGAAGCAAAGCAAAGGCCAGTTTACAAAAATTAACACAGACCGTACAACTACAAAAATGCATAAGAACTGGATGAACAACCAGAAGTTTCCGCAAGAGTTTACAGCCAGTGTTCGCAAAGCAAAGCAAAAGCCAGTTTACAAAAATTAATACAGACTGTACAACTGCAAATATACATAAGAATTGGATGAACAACCTGAAGTTTCTGCAAGAGTTTACAGCCAGTGTTCACGATCAAAAGCCAGTTCACAAAAATTAACACAGACTGTACTACTGCAAATATGCATAAGAAGTGGATGAACAACCAGAAGTTTCCGCAAGAGTTTACAGCGAGTGTTCACGAAGCAAAGCAAAGGCCAGTTTACACAAATTAAAGCAGACCGTACAACTACAAATATACATAAGAACTGGATGAGCAACCAGAAGTTTCCGCAAGAGTTTACAGCCAGTGTTCACGAAGCAAAGCAAAGGCCAGTTTACACAAATTAAAGCAGACCGTACAACTACAAATATACATAAGAACTGGATGAGCAACCAGAAGTTTCCGCAAGAGTTTACAGCCTGTGTTCGCGTAGCAAAGCAAAAGCCAGTTTACAAAAATTACCAGACTGTACAACTGCAAATATATATAAGAAGTGGATGAACAACCAGAAAGTTTCTGCAAGAGTTTACAGCCAGCGTTCGCGAAGCATAAGTCAAATGGTTAAGGATTAATATTATTAGTGTACTGCTACAACATATAATTATACTGTTAGTCAACAATTAGTAAAGAGGCAAAGAGTGACTTGCTGTGAGAGGTTAGTAAATTAAATATTATTTTCATCCACTTACCTAAAGCTCCGAAATATCTTGACACAATTTATCCACAGTGTGGTTGCACCATTTATGCACAGTCAATATGAAAGCAATAGTTTTCTTCCAACGCAAGATAGTTTGCACCTGACAACTGTCGATATTCTCCAGATATGGCTTCTACATTACCTGTTTGTATTTTCCATAAAAGTAAGATTTCTACATTTAAAATTAAAATAGAAAAGTAATAAACAGCCAGTTCCCCAAAATCCGAACTACTGACTAGAAACAGTGACACACACATCACAACACCACTGTCTCCCGTGAATAAAAATTAAAATTCGTGTAATCTAACAACGAAATATGAAAATCTTGTATATCCACTTTACAATATTCGCTTATCGATTTGTAATACGAATACAATCAGAACACAGAAGTTTGTAAGCATATTATATTGTCACACAATGCAACATGGAAACGCTTCAAGTAACCTATTTCCTAGGGGACAGCCAAAATGTATCGTGATTCAGTTGTTAGGCATTATTAGAGTAGGCAGTGGCCAGGTCATCTGAAATTAGCCAGGCATAACGACAACGAGGACGAAAGAATGTGCTGCCAATGAAATGTTTGATCTAGCGAATAAAGGTCTATAACTGAACATTCATTTGTTGGTGTGTATTTAGCAACTAAGTGTTCGTCAATACAGCAATGTGGCGTGTAAAAACAAACCCCTAGCAGAGCACACTGCAGTCAGTGTTGTGTCTGTGTTTGTGTCTGTGTTGTGTCTTTGTGAGTGTTGTCTCTGTGTTGTGTCTGTGTGAGTATTGTGTTTGAGTGTCATTGTTGTATCTGTGTATGTGTTGTGTTTGTATATCATTTCGTTCTCTAGTGAGAGTCATGTCCATATTTATAGCATATACTTGTCTAGCGCAATCATGTCCATTTTTATATCATATACAACTCTAGTGAGAAGCATGCCTATGTTTATATCATATACTTCTTTAGTGAGTCATTGTCATGCACCTTGTATCTACCACGATGGTCTATGGCTCGTTATAGGGCCCTGTGACAGACACATTACCCAATAACACAAAAAGCCTAACAAGTGATTCGTGAGTCATCCGCAACGTGGATGGCTGGGTGCGTAAGGCGTCAGCAAAGTGGATGGCTGGGTGCGTAAGGCGTCAGCAAAGTGGATGGCTGGGTGCGTAAGGCGTCAGCAAAGTGGATGGCTGGGTGCGTAAGGCGTCAGCAAAGTGGATGGCTGGGTGCGTAAGGCGTCAGCAAAGTGGATGGCTGGGTGCGTAAGGTATCAGCAACGTGGATGGGTGGGTGCTTGAGGCGTCAGAAACGTGGATGGCTGGGTGCGTGAGGCGTCAGCAACGTGGATGGCTGGGTGAGTGAGTCATCCGCAACGTGGATGGCTGAGTGAGTGAGTCATCCGCAACATGGATGGCTGGGTGAGTGAGCCATCCGCAACGTGGATGGCTGGGTGCGTAAGGTGTCAGCAACGTGGATGGCTGGGTGAGTGAGTCATCCGCAACGTGGATGGCTGGGTGAGTGAGTCATCCGCAACGTGGATGGCTGGGTGAGTGAGCCATCCGCAACGTGGATGGCTGAGTGAGTGAGTCATCCGCAACGTGGATGGCTGGGTGAGTGAGTCATCCGCAACGTGGATGGCTGAGTGAGTGAGTCATCCGCAACGTGGATGGCTGAGTGAGTGAGTCATCCGCAACGTGGATGGCTGGGTGAGTGAGGTCAGGCGATATGGCCACGGCCAAGCAAAGCTAGCTCTAATAAGTCAAATACTTCAGCAACAACTCATGTAGGGCACTGCTACATCAATACAACTGTCGCGATATGTTATATAACACACGGGAACTACTAACAGCTAAGCAAACACTTTGCTACAACACTAACAGTCGCTATCTTTTAACTTCTAACACAACATATATAATCTAGAACGTCTCTCTTCAGTCCAACATGTCCGTCAAAATCCTCCCTAACCCTTCCCCCCCCCCCCCCTTTTTGAGCTTCGTCTCGCAACCAGTTTTATTGCTAGAATCATCTCAGTTTCCCACCTTGGGTAAAACGTCTGTCTGTAGTACAGCTGTCCCATCCCCTTCCCGTAGGGCTCTAACAGTCATGTCCATGTTTATATCATATATGTCTCCAGTGTGTGACGACAAATTCCTCATGCTCCTACCGTCAGCCATGTTGTTGTCCCGATGACGTCTGCTTTACGTCATACAACTTTGAAGAAGCACTGATGACAATCCAGTGTGTCAGGTGGCGGCTATCAAAAGTTGTGTATCCGCGGTTGACAGCTGGTGAGTACATTATCCGCATGCTCGACCTCTGGTTCTCGTCATAAATGTCTTCTGTGTTTGCCTAAAGTGAAGGGCAGTGACATGTGACAGTAGCATGTGACTGTGACATGGGACGATAACATTGGACACTGGCATGTGACGGTCGGTCGGTCGGTCGGTCGGTGGGTCGGTCGTTCGGTCGGTCGGTCGGTCGGTCGGTCGGTCGGTCGGTCGGTCGGTCGGTCGGTCGGTCGGTCGGTCGGTCGGTCGGTCGGTCGGTCGGTCGGTCGGTCGGTCGGTCGGTCGGTCGGTCGGTCGGTCGGTCGGTCGGTCGGTGGGTCGGTCGTTCGGTCGGTCGGTCGGTCGGTCGGTCGGTCGGTCGGTCGGTCGGTCGGTCGGTCGGTCGGTCGGTCGGTCGGTCGGTCGGTCGGTCGGTCGGTCGGTCGGTCGGTCGGTCGGTCGGTCGGTCGGTCGGTCGGTCGGTCGGTCGGTCGGTCGGTCGGTCGGTCGGTCGGTCGGTCGGTCGGTCGGTCGGTCGGTCGGTCGGTCGGTCGGTCGGTCGGTCGGTCGGTCCGGTCAGTCAGTCGGTCGGTCGGTCAGTCAGTCGGTCGGTCGGTCGGTCGGTCGGTCCGGTCAGTCAGTCGGTCGGTCGGTCCGGTCAGTCAGTCGGTCGGTCGGTCGGTCGGTCGGTCGGTCAGTCGGTCGGTCGGTCGGTCGGTCGGTCGGTCGGTCGGTCGGTCGGTCGGTCGGTCGGTCGGTCGGTCGGGTCGGTCGGTCCGGTCGGTCGGTCGGTCGGTCGGTCGGTCGGTCGGTCGGTCGGTCGGTCGGTCGGTCGGTCGGTCGGTCGGTCGGTCGGTCGGTCGGTCGGTCGGTCGGTCGGTCGGTCGGTCGGTCGGTCGGTCGGTCGGTCGGTCGGTCGGTCGGTCTGTCCGTCTGTCTGTCTGTCTGTCCGGTGTGCTGTACATGGTCACAATTTGGCTTTAGGTCTCCTAAAAATAAGCACATCACAATTAAATTTAGAAATTTTAAAACCTTTAATTCACAAGCATTTTGAAACGCTTTGCGAAACGCACAGCTGGAGCATGTTTATCAGCTTTCTGAACCCGACGATACTAAAGCATACTGGACAAAAACAGTCTACAATGTGTTTGATAAACTTGTGCCGGTTAAAGAAATTAGAGTTAAAAGTCAAACTAAGTCTCCATGGATCACTAGTGAAGTTCTGGAAGTTATGAGAGATCGAGACATGGCACATACAAATAAATATGTTATCGAGTATCGTAGGCTAGGAAATAAAGTACAATATATGATTCGTAGGATCCAGAAAGATCATTTTAATAAGTTGATTATAGATAAATCAAACAGTACAGACATATGGAAGGCTATTAACATTCTGACCAACAAGAAACATCATTCATATCCTGTAAAACCAGATTATCTCACATATAATAATTTCGGTAATTTTTTTTTTTTAATCGGAAATAGAAAATTTAAAATCCGCCATACCAGATGCACAGAATGATTTAAGCCTGTTGGCATCATTTAGTGATGACAAATGTATTAATGCTAATCCATCTGAGATTCCTCTCATGTCTGTTGCTGAAGTATATAAATACCTCACCAACCTCAAGCAGACAAACTTTGATGGTGTCAGCAATCGAAGTCTTCGATGTGCTGCACCAGTGATAAGCGATTCCTCAACTTTCATATATAATCAGTGTCTTGCCAAAAACTACTTTCATTCTGCATTTAAGAAGTGTATCCTCTGTATCAACCTGGCTCAACTGATAAAACTTATGTGGGTAACTACAAACCAATTTCTTTACTATCATCAGTACCAAAACCATTAGAGAAACACTTGTAGCTTTGACATTACATCATGTAATGTTGATTGTTTCAGGTACCACTTGTAGCTCTGACATCAAACCTTGTAATGTTGACTGTTTCAGGTACCACTTGTAGCTCTGACATCAAACCTTCTAATGTTGACTGTTTCAACTACCACTTGTAGCTTTGACATAAAAACTTGTAATGTTGACTGTTTCAGGTACCACTCGTAGCTCTGACATCAAACCTAGTATTGTTGATTATTTCAGATAGCACTTGTAGCTCTTATATTAAACCTAGTAATGTTGACTGTTTCAGGTACCACTTGTAGCTCTGACATCAAACCTAGCAATGTTGATTGTTTCGGGCACCACTTGTAGCTCTGACATCAAACCTTGTAATGTTGACTGTTTCAGGTACCACTTGTAGCTCTGACATCAAACCTAGCAATGTTGATTGTTTCAGGTACCACTTGTAGCTCTGACATCAAACCTAGTAATGTTGATTGTTTCAGGTACCACTTGTAGCTGTGACATCAAACCTTGTAATGTTGATTGTTTCAGGTACCACTAGTAGCTCTGACATCAAACCTTGTAATGTTGACTGTTTCAGGTACCACTTGTAGCTCTGACATCAAACCATGTAATGTTGATTGTTTCAGGTACCACTAGTAGCTCTGACATCAAACCTTGTAATGTTGATTGTTTCAGGTACCACTAGTAGCTCTGACATCAAACCTAGTAATGTTGACTGTTTCAGGTACCACTATTAGCTCTGACATCAAACCATGTAATGTTGATTGTTTCAGGTACCACTTGTAGCTGTGACATCAAACCTAGTAATGTTGATTGTTTCAGGTACCACTTGTAGCTGTGACATCAAACCTAGTAATGTTGATTGTTTCAGGTACCACTTGTAGCTCTGACATCAAACCATGTAATGTTGATTGTTTCAGGTACCACTTGTAGCTTTGACATCAAACCTTGTAATGTTGATTGTTTCAGGTACCACTTGTAGCTGTGACATCAAACCTAGTAATGTTGATTGTTTCAGGTACCACTAGTAGCTCTGACATCAAACCTTGTAATGTTGATTGTTTCAGGTACCACTTGTAGCTTTGACATCAAACCATGTAATGTTGATTGTTTCAGGTACCACTAGTAGCTCTGACATCAAACCTTGTAATGTTGATTGTTTCAGGTACCACTAGTAGCTCTGACATCAAACCTAGTAATGTTGACTGTTTCAGGTACCACTTGTAGCTGTGACATCAATCCTAGTAATGTTGGTTGTTTCAGGTAGCACCTGCACCACCATCTGGCAGTGCATCGACCGCTGCTGCATTAAGTACCAGGGCCAGAGACAAGCTCCCAGGTTTAAGGTACCACTAGTAGCTCTGACATTAAACCTTGTAATGTTGATTGTTTCAGGTACCACTAGTAGCTCTGACATTAAACCTTGTAATGTTGATTGTTTCAGGTACCACTTGTAGCTGTGACATCAAACCATGTAATGTTGATTGTTTCAGGTACCACTAGTAGCTCTGACATCAAACCATGTAATGTTGATTGTTTCAGGTACCACTAGTAGCTCTGACATCAAGCCATGTAATGTTGATTGTTTCAGGTACCACTAGTAGCTCTGACATCAAACCATGTAATGTTGATTGTTTCAGGTACCACTAGTAGTTCTGACATCAAACCTTGTAATGTTGATTGTTTCAGGTACCACTTGTAGCTGTGACATCAAACCTAGTAATGTTGATTGTTTCAGGTACCAATAGTAGCTCTGACATCAAACCTTGTAATGTTGATTGTTTCAGGTACCACTAGTAGCTCTGACATCAAACCTTGTAATGTTGACTGTTTCAGGTACCACTTGTAGCTGTGACATCAAACCTAGTAATGTTGATTGTTTCAGGTACCACTTGTAGCTCTGACATCAAACCTAGTAATGTTGATTGTTTCAGGTACCACTAGTAGCTCTGACATCAAACCTTGTAATGTTGACTGTTTCAGGTACCACTTGTAGCTGTGACATCAAACCTAGTAATGTTGACTGTTTCAGGTACCACTTGTAGCTGTGACATCAAACCTTGTAATGTTGATTGTTTCAGGTACCACTTGTAGCTGTGACATCAATCCTAGTAATGTTGATTGTTTCAGGTACCACTTGTAGCTGTGACATCAAACCATGTAATATTGATTGTTTCAGGTACCACTTGTAGCTGTGACATCAAACCTTGTAATGTTGATTGTTTCAGGTACCACTAGTAGCTCTGACATCAAACCATGTAATGTTGATTGTTTCAGGTACCACTTGTAGCTGTGACATCAAACCTAGTAATGTTGATTGTTTCAGGTACCACTTGTAGCTCTGACATCAAACCTAGTAATGTTGATTGTTTCAGGTACCACTAGTAGCTCTGACATCAAACCTTGTAATGTTGACTGTTTCAGGTACCACTTGTAGCTGTGACATCAAACCTAGTAATGTTGACTGTTTCAGGTACCACTTGTAGCTGTGACATCAAACCTTGTAATGTTGATTGTTTCAGGTACCACTTGTAGCTGTGACATCAATCCTAGTAATGTTGATTGTTTCAGGTACCACTTGTAGCTGTGACATCAAACCATGTAATATTGATTGTTTCAGGTACCACTTGTAGCTGTGACATCAAACCTTGTAATGTTGATTGTTTCAGGTACCACTAGTAGCTCTGACATCAAACCATGTAATGTTGATTGTTTCAGGTACCACTTGTAGCTGTGACATCAAACCTAGTAATGTTGATTGTTTCAGGTAGCACCTGCACCACCAGCTGGCAGTGCATCGACCGCTGCTGCATTAAGTACCAGGGCCAGAGACAAGCTCCCAGGTTTAAGTGTGGTAAACCATTTGACGATTATCGCGGCTGGGAGGAATGCGTTGTACCCTCCTAGATCTACTGGTTGTCTGCAGCTGCTGTTTGTCCTTTACGACAATATCTATGACTACTCTAGGCCCCTGATCGCAGATCGCCTGCATGACTTGCCTTCTGATTCTTTTATAAGTGACTAACCTGCAGCAAGAGATTGTCGTTTTTTTTTTTTTTCCATCAACTGTCTCTTTTGTTTGTCTCCAATGTTTCTTTCATTTGTCTCCAATGTCTCTCTTACTTCTATCTACTGTTTCTCTCATTTGTCTTCACTGTC